GGGTTAATGTGCCAGACTGCAAAGATGTTTGAACTGCAAGATTAGCGGTTCAAGCTCACCAGCTGCTCCTTGGAAACCCTATGCAGGGTCACTATGGGTTGGAATTGACTCAACTCCCTCAACAACAACAAAGATTGACAAAAAGATCAAGGAAAGCAAAGAGAACACAGAAAGAAAGAAAAAGAATCTCAAAAGAATTCAGGAAAACACTACAAGAGCAAACAAAATTAATGTAAAATCTGAAACAAAACAAAACCTACAACTAGGAATCCAGAAGATTAATACTAAGATTTCAGAAACAAACAATACATTGAAAGGGTAAAGCAGTAGATTTGGAGCATTTGAAACCTGAATTACTCAGCTTGAAAAAAAAAATCTCTCAATAGTAGTATACTAGAAGAATAATCCAAAAAAAGAATGAAAAAATGTTCAAGGTCATATTTTGGTTTTCATGGATTTGTTTTAATTTTCTTCAGCTTCAGCCTAAAATTGCATATGAGCAATTGATGGTCTGTTCCACAGTCTGCCCTGGCCTTGTTTTGGCTAATGATATGGAGCTTTCCTACCATCTCTTTCAGTAAATGTAATCAATTTGATGTCTGTGTATTTCATCTAGTGAGGTCCATATGTATAGTAACATTTTGTGCTGTTTAAAAAGGTATTTGCAATAAAGAAGTCATTGGTCTTAAAAATTCAATCATGTGATCTCCAGCATCATTTCTATCACCAAGGCCATATTTTCTAATGACTGATCCTTCTCCTTTGTTTCCAACCTTTGCATTCCAATTGCCAATAATTATAAATACATCTTGATTGCATGTTTTATCAATTTTAGATTGAAGAAGTTGAAAGAATTCTTCAGTTTCATCATCACTGGCTTTAGTGATTGGAGTGTAAATTTGAATAATAGTTGTATTAAATGGTTTTCCCCATAGGTAGTGGTTGTTCTCTATAGGTGTATGGATAGGATATTATCCTGTCACAGATAACACTATATTTTCAAGACAGATCTTGAAATGTTCTTTTTGATGAAAACTGTGACACCATTCCTTTTCTATTTATCATTTCTGGCATAGTAAACCATGTGATTGTCAGATTCAAAATGGCCAACAATAGTCCATTTTAGCTCACAAATGCCTAGGATATTAATGTTTATGCATTCCATTTCATCTTTGACAACTTCCAATTTTACTAGATTCATATGCATACATTCCATATTAATAGATGTTTGGGCTGTTTCTCCTAATTTTGATTGTGCCCCATCAGCAAATGAAGGTCCTGAAAGTTTTACTCCATTCATGTCTAGTGTTCTTCCTCACATTTCAATATTCAGTAATCTGGTGCTGACAGTGTTCTACTGCTATTCATAAAGTTTTCAGTGACTAAATATTCTGCAGTAGTTGTCTCTCTTTCTTCCTAGCCTGTCTTCATCTGGAAGCTCATCTGAAACCTGTCCACCACGAGTGACCCTGCTGATATTTAAAATACCAGTGGCATAGCTTCTAGAATCACAGCAACACGCAAGCTACCACAATACGACAGTACAACAAACTGACAGATGAATGGTTGGTCCCTCAAATATGACAGTGAAGTTAAGACATTCACAGATAAACAGGAGTTAAAAGAATTTGTAAAAACCACACCAACTTTTCAAAATGAATAAATAAAAGGAGTTCTTTGGACAGAGAACCAACAACAGTACACAACAACCTGAGGTTAATATGACAAAATCACCCAAACTCAACCCAGATAAAGAAGTATCCCAAGTAAAACAAATCAGAGTAATCAATGTGCAACCACAACAAACCAAAGTAAACAGAAGAAAAAGTGTAGTCTCAGACTTCCAAATGAAGAAGATAACAAGTAGAGTTCAAGAAAAAACAAACAACCCTATGCGGCAGTTCTGTGTCACATGGGATTGCTATGAGTCAAAATGGACTCAATGGCATCTAACAACAGCAACATTGCCACCAAGATCTATGAAGAGTGGAAATAGATGCTTTTATTGATTTCACTGGTAGCTTCAAACTCTACCTTGGTATTCTCAGCCTAGTAAGACTTCTTGTTTTCGCTAGGGATGTATTTTTCTGTAATCCAATTTTGAAAGTACTCTAATGGAAAAATACCGGGGTGAGTGTGGTTCTCATCTCACACATACCTTCACTGAATGATTAGATCCTGTCTATGCATGGTGCTGTGGGTTAATGCGCCAGACTGCAAAGCCGTTTGAACTGCAAGGTCGGTGGGTCAAGCTCACTAGCTGCTCCTCAGAAACCCTACACAGGGTCGCTATGGGTCGGAACCGACTCGATGGCACTTAACAACAATAACAATGTTGCACCGCAAGGTTGGTTTTAACTGAAAGGTCGGTGATTCAAATTTACCAGAGGCTCCTCGGAAACCATATACAGGGTCGCTGTGAGTGGACTCGACTCAACGGCACTTAACAATGATGCTAGTTGCTTTTCATGCTTTCAGTGTATGTAAGGGAGCTTCAAAAAGTTTGTGGAAAAATTCTATTATTTTTAATTCCATTTTCATTTTTTCCCACAGACTTCTAGAAGCCCATTTGTACATTTTGTTCTGGCTTTATATTCGTATTATGGCAGCTGGGCACATTCACAATAAACTGTCATGGCTGGAATTGCTATCAAGGAGTCTCATTGGTTGCTTGGTTTTCTGATTCCTTCTTTTTGAACTTTAAACATATTATCAATAGTTATTTTATATTGTATTTTAAATAGTGACACTATCTGAAATTTTGATAGCTTAAACCTCTTGTTTCTGCTGACTGTCATTCATGGTACATTGCCTCCTATGTGTTTGGTGCCATTATGAGATCATGCTTGTTTCGTTTTAACATGGGAGAATCCTATAAGTTTACAAAGTGATGATGTTTTCTCTAAAAAGAATCTGTGTTTGCTTCTGCTCAAAGGCAGGATGTGCTACAGACCTGGAACCACATTAGCATTCTCAGCTTAAATTGATTTTAGTACAGCTCCCCCATTTTGAGGTTTGTTGTTGTTAATTCGATTCTGACTCATAGCTACTATGTATTGGATTTCCGAGGCTGTAATTCTTTGTAAGAACAGAAAACCTCATTTTTATCCTCTGGAGCAACTGGCAGGCTCAAACTGCAGACTTTGTGGTTCTCAGTACAGTGCTTACCTATGGAGTCACCAAGCTTCCCATTTTGAGGTTTAGTCTCTATGTACTTTTCAACTATTCTTTAAGAATTATTTCTAGAATCTTCATCTTCTTATTCCTTCCTGGTCTATACTCTCTCCAATTTTTAAATCAGTTGTCTTTTGTGTGAAACAAAAAATCAAACACAGCATTTAAGTTTGATCTACTAGAGCAGAGGACTAAAAATATCATCATTGCCCTTGCTTTGGAAAGTCTGTTAGTGTTAGTATAGCCAAAAGATAAGTTGCTGCCCTTGCAAATATGCAAAGACAAACAAAGAAGGAAATGTTTAATTATCAGATTTTTGAAAGAACATGAAACTTCTTATTTATAAAATCAGTTTTGCAAATTGTCACATGGGAGTCTAGTGTAACATAGTTCGATTTTACTCTTTGACACTGTAAAACTATCACCAAAAAAATCAAAGTAGAAACAAAAAGCAAAGGCAACAATGTACTACATTTTATGAAGAGACTTAATAAAGCTATCACCTTTGGTAATACACACCCCTTCTTTCATTGTGGTCATATTATATCTCTACAATGGTGTCTTATTGTTGGATTAGCAAGCTAAAACTTCATTCTCCCCCCCCCACACACACATGATCCAACTTAACTGATGTTAAGTCCATTTATCCTATATTTTTGAAGTTGAGTTTTAAACCAGATGGAATCATACTGAAAAATGTAAAGAGTACCAAATCCTTAATATTGGGGTTCTTCCCTTCTTAAATGTTTACTTTTAAAATGATAACAAGTTAAATGGGGTTATCTTTCTTGAAGGAATAGTTTGAACAGCTGACAAAGCCTAGGTGAAAGTTTTAAATACCTTACCAGTAGTTAAAACTGAGATACATATTTAAAAACATTACTATACTGAAAAGCAAATTCAAGAGAAATAACCTTGGAAATAACCTGACAGACCTCACTGATCAAAGCATATAACTAGCATATTCAGCAGTGTATCTTCATGTCAGTCTCTTTTTATGCATTCAACTAATGAAAAGATATTTTTCTAACCCTTCAATTAACCAGCTATATCTGGTTCACATTTTTAAATAGTGTCTACTGGATCTAACTCATTTTCAATGGTTTAAAATTCCAAAAGTATAGAAGTCTAAACTAACAAAAAGAACAAATACCAGCCATTGGAAATATATTTTATAGATTGAAATTTTATGGAGGGGAAATAGCTTTTAGACAAATAAGTCTGTGACATAAATATAAAAGCTTCCCAGTTTAATTTTTGATATATTTAATTGAAAAAACCTGAGCCCTTCACAAAGTCTGAAAAAAAATTAATGTTGGCGATATGGTTTGAGATTCTTTTAAACCTTGAAGACATATTCATAAAATAAGTTCTGTTATGTCCCCTAATGCCACATATTTCAAGAGATTGTGACTTTTATTGTAAAATTAATATTATTAAGAAAAAATTAAATAGTAAAAAGTAGAAATTTTCATGCATAGTCCTAAAATTTATACCCAACTACAATGAACACTTTAGTATATTTTTTTGCTCATTGTTTTTCCCTATACATAATATGATTTCTAATATAGTTTAAATCATATTGTACATTTAATTCTGGTTCCGTTCCCAGCCCTTAACCTTAAGTCACAGAACACGGAATGCAGTCACTAATGGTTATCTTGGTTTTATTCTCTGTAGCTTAAGACTGCTTTCAAAAAAACATGAAATCTAAGAATCATGCACTTTTGTTTTTTTTATTCATAGCTGTCTGCTGTATTGTTCCATTACTCAAATAATAACTATCCCACAAAGCACTTATTCTTCAAGTTCATTTTACTTCTCACCTTTTGAGCTGCAAGATGGAGGGCTGTTCTCTGGCTATGGTCAGTTTTATTAACATCTGCTCCTGCCTTTAAGAGCGCATCTGCACAATCCACTCTGTCAGCCAACACACAATACATAAGCGGTGTTCTTCCAAATTGATCTTCTTTGTCTTTAAGAGCAGAGTTTCCTATAAGAAACAGATAGTGATATTTGATTCTTGTTGTTACTGTTGTTGTTAAATGCTGTTGAGTTGGTTCCGGCTCATAGCAACTCTGTATAAGGTGGGTATTAACTGCCGACCTGTGGTTCGCAGTCCAGCATCACACCAGGAGGAACTAGGTTTACTAAATATTTAGTATCAAACCCTGTGTGCTAAGTGCATGAAATGGAGTACCTCATTTTTACCTAACCTAACAGATGCAGTCCTGTTGTGGTGTGTTAGCAGTCCAGGATCAGCACTAGACTGCTAACCACAAGGTCGGTGGTTCAAACCCACCAGCCAATCTTTGGAAATCCTTTATCAGGCCACTATAAGTCAGAACTGACTCGATGGCACTTTACAACAATGATTTGGATACAGAAAAACCTGTGAACGTAAGAAAGCGTGCAGGGCAGAACCCTATCAGAAAGGAAAACTCAACTATTTTCCACTAAAGGAGGTACGACGGCACTCTGTCAAAGGTGGAAAGTTTGCTAGACCTGGAAAAAACAAGGTAATCCCACCAAATGCAGGTTATCATTGGTTTCACAGGATTGTCAACCTCATGTTACAGGGAACTAAACTTCAGAGAAGCACCCTGTCTACATTCACACTGAAAGTTGATGGTGAAGCTAGACTTCAAACTGCTGACCTTAAAGAACACTTTCTTTACTACGCTATGCTGAACTGATACTTTACAATATGGATCTACTTATGTTTCCCTCTCATTCCTTCCTTTTCTCAATAAATATGTTTTTAGGGAAAATGTACTGGATGGCAAGGTTGGCTTGAATCTCAAGGTCAGCAGTTCAAATCCACCAGTTGTTCCTCATAAACCCTATACAGGGTCGCTATGAGTCGGAACTGACTCAATAGCACTTAATAGCACCAACAACATATACTAAGCACTGTGCTAAGTTTTTACGCATGAAAATCCTGGTTGGCTTCCTGTTCTGGATATCTGAAGCTGGAACAAATACCAAAAAACAAACAAGAAAAATCATACCTGTAGAGAAGCAGTGACACCAGAGATGGAGGCAGAGATGATGACATAGAGAAATGGAGCAGTTGGGGACTGTGGACTCAAGGAGGGAGAGGGGCTGTGTATGCAGGGTATACCCTTTGGTTGTTTAAATGATTACATATTCCTGAGTGCTTCAGTGTACATCCCCACCCCACCCCACCCCCTCACCCCCCCAAAAAACAGAGGGATTCTAAGAAAATGTTGTTGAATGATGATGCATGGAGGGGATTGTAATCATTGCAATGAAATGAAATAAAATAGGATGAATGTAAAGCAGATGCTCTCCCATGTAAACTATCATTCAGTTCACAATCACAACTTTAAACACACACATAAAAACACCTGTTGCTATCAAGTCCATTCCAGCTCCTTTGGACCCTATAGAGTACAGCAGAACAACCCCATAAGGTTTCCAAGGCTGTAATCTTTACAGAAGCAGACCGCCGCATCTTTCTCCCCTGGAGACGCTGAGAGTTTGAACTGCTAACATTTCAATGAGAAGCTGAAGTGTACCACCAGGGCTCCTTGGAGCAAGAAGAGTCCACCTTAACCCTTCTGCTAATTATAATGAAAATCCAAGACCAAATTCAGGTCAAGTGGAGAAAACGAGGAAAACTGGATAGGGACTGCTGGACTTGTGGTACAACCTGACGGTAAGTTTCTTGGAATGTTTTTGGTTCGGTATTGCATCCTAGAAAAACTCAGTATGAATGCTGGGTACAAACTGGATACTGAATTCATACAGTGGAAAACGCAATATTGTTACAATGTTACTTCTGCCTAAATTGATCTATGGTGGTTGTGGTAGTGGTTATGTGCCATGCAGTTGGTTCTGACTCATAGGGTTTTGGAGGCTGTAAATCTTTACACGAGCAGAAAGCCTCATCTTTCTCCTATGGAATGAATGGTAATTTCGAACCACTGACCTTGAGGTTAGCAGCCCGACTTGTAACCACTACACTACCAGAGCTCCTTAAATTGATTTACAGATTCCACATAATCCCAATCAAATTACCAAAAGGCCATCTTTTTAGAAATCAACACAGTTTCCAAATCTATGTGGAAAAGCAAATGAAATGTAACAGTGTTCAGTTTTTTAAAAAGAACAAAGATGGAACATTTGCACTTTATGATTTTAAGAATTATACAGTAATGAAGACAGTGGCAACTGCAAAAGAACAGATATATAAAGAGCACAAAATAGAGAACAGAATAAAAAGAAAAAATAGATCCTCACATCTATGATCAGTTAAGATGAACTGGACTTATCTAAATGAAAATCTTTTCTGTTGAAAACACAGAAGAAAATAAAAGCCACAAACTGGGAAAAAATACTTGCCATACACCTGGCAAAGCCAACTATATTGAATAAGTAAAAAAGTCTTGCAGCTCAATAATTATGCAATCAAAATACAAAAAAAATTTAAGTAGACATTTTACCAAATAAACATGAAAGATGCCTAATGTCTTTACTATGTAGGGAAATGCAGGTTTAAGCTGTAATGAGATACCATTGAACATCTATTAGAATGGCTCAAAAAAACAAAAAAAAACCTGACCAAGATGGTGACCAACTACAATCCATTGGCATTGCTGGTGGAAATTATATTAATTTCCTAGAGGTGTCATAATAAAATATGAGGTGGAGTAAAAAATTATCCATAGTCCAGTTATATTAAACCACCCATCCATGTCCACAGATGATGACAACAGAGTGTATATGTGAAATGATTCTATCGAATAGATGAGTGACAGTGGATTATGTAGCAAATCATTTGCAAATCAGCCATGGATCTGCCTGTGAAATAATCCATGACAGACTTGGGTTTTGAAAAGTTTGTGCGAGATGGGTACCAAAACAACTCAAGGGGGGGAACATAATCTGAAGTGTTTGGACATCTGCAAACAAAATCTGGCATGAGACTCAAAGGAAGGTAAAAGTTTCTTTGAAAAAAATTGTTACTGTTGATGAGACATGGATTCATCACAATGAGACATGTATTCATCACTATGAGCCTGAGAATAAACAGCAGAGTATGGAATGGGAACATCCTCAATTACTGACCAAGAAAAAGTTCAAAAGTCAACCGTTATCTGAAAAATTGATGCTTACAATTTTCTGGGATCCTCAAGGGCCAGTATTGGAACACTACCAAGAAAAAGTACAAGCAACAGTGCACTTACAGTGAGATGCTCACTGAAGAGCTAAAGCCTGAACTTCCAATTAAATGCAGAGGACTGCTATCCAAGGACATTGTGATCTTGTAGGACAATGCACGCCTGAATACATCTGCCCACATTGTTGACACTCTGCAAAAACTTCATTTTGAGGTATTAAAGCATCCTCCCTATAGTCCTGATCTTGCTCCATCAGACTTTTACCTGCTTGGCCCCCTAAAAGCAGTCCTTCAAGGATGAAGATTCACCTCTGATGAAGAAGTGAAGACAGCAGTGCATTTGTGGCTTGTAGCTCAGCCTAAAACATTTTTAAATAAGGGACTACAAAAGCTTGTTGACAGAGAGCAAAGAAGATGGCAGAGAGGGTGGAAGTGCAGTGAGGAGCTCTGTCAGCAACAACACAGAATACTGAACCAAGCAGGCTCAGGAGATGATCCCAGAACTCTGAACCACATGTAAAGAATTATTTAGAAGGTTGGAATGCTTACAGCCAGGGGTATTTATAGCAGAAGCAAGAAATCAGTACTTTTTAATCCAAGGCAAGACCAAGCGGGGGAAGGATCAGAGCAGCAGCGTACACCTGACAGAACCATGGAGATAAAGGTGTGGACACTCTTTTTTTAAAAAAATCTGTTCATTGGTCTCTCACTGTTTGTGCACCTCCATTTTGGTGACTAGAGGGTGCCTGAGCGAGTGGACACCCCACCCCCACCCCCGGAGGGTTCTACTACACATGCACACAGATCTACTAGAAATTTAAAGGCCCAGTTTCCACTTAAAACCAAACGGCAGTGCAAAACAGCCACAGCCGGCCCTGAACTAGGAAAAAGGCCTGAACAGGGGTTGTGGAGCGGGACAGGCAAACTAAATAGGAAATAGGCTGAAAATTAAATCCTGAGTTACATCATAACGACTAACAGTGGCATCTTGAAATTTCTCAGGAAGAAGAGTGAAAAGGAAAGCCCATATCCTGATCACATCTACCTGGAGGCAATCAGAAAGCATAAAAAATACCAAAATACACACCCATCTAAGCATTAAGGCCACAGATAACTCCAGAATATGCCCCCAAAACAGAAGCAGATGACCATATCAGCACATGTCCAGAAACGAGATACAGTGACTGATACAAATGAGCTGGAGGTAGACTTACACCCCATATTGGAAGATGGACAGGCTTTGGAAATGCCTGAGAAGAAATTCAGAAAAATGATTATAAAATGTATCAACATACTATACAATGGAGTTGAGAAAAATAAGGACAAAGTCAGGAAAGTGCTACAGGAACAATCAAATAAGATAGATACAGCATTGGAAACAATTCAAAACCTACAGAAAGAGATCCAAATGATTAAT